CTCTATTTATTTGACAGAGAGAGACACAGTGAGAGAGGGAACACAAGTGAGGGAGAGGGAGAAGCAGGCCTCCCACCGAGCAGGAAGCCCGATGTGGGGCTCAATCCCAGGACCCTGGGATCATGACCTGAGCCGAAGGCAGGTGCCCAATGACTGAGCCACCCAGGCGCCCCTTTACTAAATTTTTATTAAATTTTTATTTAATATTTTAATAAATATTAAATATTATAAAATAATATTCAGATATTATTTTATATAGATATAGATCAGAAAGGACATCAGGGATGAATTGGCACTTGAGTTCGGTCTTTTAAAGTTGACAGGCCTTCCACAAGAAAGAAAAAGTGGAAAAAGCATGTCAGGAGAATAATTATGAACAAAGCGGAGAGAAGTACAAGGCAATTTCCAATCACTGGCAGAGGGGTATCAATGTAGGGGTAGAGAAGAAAATTAAACATTTGCTAAATAACCAGTACTTACAGATTTTCATAATTTCAGGTAAGTCAATCCCTTAATCAAGAGCCTCATTATTTCTTGCTTGAAACAATTAAGAGTATCCTAATTGTCTCTCTGCTTTTGGTATCCCCCTCCCCCTTGCAAACTATCATCCGTATCACTGCCAGATTAATTTTGAAGATTTTATTTATTTACTTAAGAGAGAGAGAGACAGAGATAATGAGAGAGCACGAGCAGGGAGGAGAGGGAGAAGAAGGCTCCCTGCTGAGCTGGGAGCCTGATGTGGGGCTCAATCCCAGAACCCTGAGATCATGACCTGAGCCAAAGGCAGACGCTTAACTGACTGAGCCACCCAGGCGCCCCTGCCAGTTTAATTTTAACAAAACACAATTATGATCCTGAAATGCCTTTGTTAAAATTTTTCAGTGACTGCCAACTATTCACAAAATAAAGCCTAAACTCCTTACCATAGCATTTGGAGTTCTTCACAATTAAGATCTCTCCCAGCCTTGTCCCTCAAAGCCTCTCTCACATCCTTAATTCAAACCATACAAAATGATTTCTCCTGTCTTTTGTACATTTGATACATCTCAAGCTTCCCTTGCTTATGCTGGGTTCTGTGCATGAAATTCTCTCACCTCCCAAATTCCACTTAGCAATCTTTCACTCATCTTTCAAGATTCTACTCAAGTATCATTTCCTATGTGAAGCCTGTCTGACAATTCTCTCCTCTAACAGTGTTGAAACTTTTCCAATTTCATATAGCACTTTTCCAATTGCACTTGAATTAGCTGTTTGAATACTCCTCTCTAAGCAGACTACATCAAGAGCAAAGCAAGGAACCCATTTCACTGAACATTTTGTATTCTCAGTGCCTAATAACATAGTGCCTGACAGGGGCGCCTGGGTGGCTCAGTTGGTTGGGCGACTGCCTTCGGCTCAGGTCATGATCCTGGAGTCCCAGGATCGAGTCCCACATCGGGCTCCCTGCTCGGCGGGGGGTCTGCTTCTCCCTCTGACCCGCTTCCCTCTCCTGCTCTCTGTCTCTCATTCTCTCTCTCTCAAATAAATAAATAAAATCTTTAAAAATTAAAAAAAAATAAATAAATAAAAACCCATAGTGCCTGACATAGAGTAGGTATTTAATAAATGTTTACAGGGAGAAGGAAATGAATGGATGCAGGCAAAGGTATTACTCACTTAATGCTATACTGTTAAGAGACTTTACTACTAGAGTAGTTTGTCCTTACCTTGGCAGGCCAAAAAAGAGTCACTGACAGTACATGCAGAATTATCTTCCAGAAAATTTCAGCTGGCAGTAACATGGAGAGGGAAATGGAGTGAAGAGAGGCACAAAGCTGGGAGAGCCCTGCAATATTTTAGGTGAAATGTAACAGAAGGGCCTAACCTTGGATGGTGATGCGGGGGACTGGAAAAGAGAGGACGGAAACATTCACGGCACACTACAGAGGTCAATAGATGAGAATGGATCTCAGACTGAGGGCAGGAAGGAAAAGATGAGGAATCAGATTCAGCACTGAGACTCTGAACATGGGTGACAGAGAGGTCCAGTAACAGACATGGGAACCCTGGCGTGAAGCAAGCAGCTGGAAATATGGGCCCGAAGGTTAGAGAGAATGTCACAACCGAGATGTAAGGTTGAGAGAGATCACTTTAGAGGTGACTGTTGAAATGAGATTAGGAAAAACCTAAAGAAGAAACAGAAAAATTTCAAAGATAAAACCTTGTGGAGGTTGTTATTTAAGAGTAGGAGGAGAAAAAAAAAATAATTATGAAGGCGTAATTGAAGAAGTAGAACTAGAACACAGCGTCACAGAAACAGAGAGATTTGCAAAAAAGGGAAAATGGCAACTACTACAGTGATCAAAGAGTATGAAGCCTAATAAAAGACAATTAAAAAGTCATAAGTATTTTTCAAAAGAACGAAGACACCAGTGGGGCAGGGTGAGAAAAAAGAGTGTGCACTAAGAAAGCATCAGCAGGGAGCAAAGCCAACTACTCCAGGAAGAAAAGTACAGACCACTTCATAGTGTATGTCCTATTCATTTTTCTAAAATACAGATCCCTGAAGAATTCAAACCTTTTCCCTGATAATCTGAGTCTGTAAATTGATTGAAAATAATGAACTTGACTTCTCCATACATACAGTCTTAGAATAGCTTCTTCTCTCCCATCCCTGGTGTTAATGCAATTCCCACTTCTTTAAATAAATTCTACCTCCAAAGATCTACATTTTACGACAACATTTTTATTCTGAATTCTATAATGTGTGAAAGTTTCAAAATAATATAAACATGCATTTTTTTATATAATCCACCATTCTGAACTCTGCTTGGTCATCTTTAGAGGGAATAAATATATCTCTATATATCATCTAATGCTTATTTTCTATAATTAGAGTGAAGAAAGTGCTATCAATAATAAATAAGTATCTTTTATTCCTGAAGAGGTTCAACATTTATAAGAAGAGAAAAAACATATTAGAACTACTTATGAACTCATAAGGAGGTCATTAAAGAAACTAAAGAAGCTAAAATAAAGTTGCCGCAGTAATACATACAGAAGGACTATTTTCAATTTTTTTCTTCCTTCCAAGATTTTATTTAAATTCAAGTTAGTTAACATATAGTGTAGTACTGGTTTCAGGAGTAGAATTTAGTGATTCATCACTTAACATGCAACAGCCAGTTGCCCATCCCAACACGTGCTCTTCTTCTTAATGCCCATCTCCCATTTAGCCCATCCCCCCACCCACCTTCCAGGACTATTTTCAATTGTTAACAAATGAAAATGTCCACATTATTCTAATTATTTTCTTAAAATTCTTTTCCTGGGGCACCTGGGTGGCTCAGTCGTTAGGTGTCTGCCTTTGGCTCAGGTCATGATCCCAGGGTCCTGGGATGGAGCCCTGCATCCGGCTCCCTGCTCAACGGGAAACCTGCTTCTTCCTCTCCCACTCCCCCTGCTTGTGTTCCCTCTCT